TTTGTGTGTTGTTGCTTGCATTTGTAGGCTTTCTCGACCCCAATCGAGCGCCGCACGGGGCCCCGTCGATTAGCCCCGTGACACGATGGCGCCAAGTGAGAGATTGAATAGCATAGCATAGGGTTTTATGTTTTACGGCTGGGAGTTGGGTGTTACAGCCCGCTACACAGCCATGGCGTGCAGCTAATCCAGCGGGGTCTAGTCTATTACTCTATTCGGTTTCCATCTATCATCAGCAGTTCAGCACTCCGCAGCAACTCTTGATTCTTGAATATACCATTAACTAACAATAGCTGTTGGCTTGGGCGTAAAGGATCTTCTAGAGGCTGAAGCAGCACATGCCGTCGAAAATTTGCTACCTGATTATGCCAGTGGCGACTTGTCATCCCTTTGTACGTGGCCCGATCAAATCCGCCACTGGTACAGGTATCGCTGGACAAGTCCTCTTCATTTCATTGATACGCCAGACCACGCTTGTTCCTTCGATTATTCAAGTATGTGATACAACTATAATGCTCTTCTTCTTTCTGCGTGCAAATTAATGCAGTAATGACGTATTACACATGGACAGGGGATTGTCACGACCAACATGGAGTGAAGGGAAGAATGTGTGTCGCGGGTGCTGTTCAAAACTTCACCACTCAACTCCTGCATTATCGGCACGGATCCTCAGATCGTCGATGTAAGGAAGCCAGACCTCCTGGGATCTCTTCAGTCTTCTGTATTTCTGGGTAAATTTGTTTGTTTCTCTGATTTCGAGCTGGGTGTTTTCCTTTTTCTTCCCTTCTCTCTTGCAGATAATATGACTGAAGCCCTGTTGTTCTTATCACACTTCATGGGAGATATCCATCAGGTATGGTGGTCAACTGGTCATCTACAGATGTTTCTTGTTATTTTGGCTCTCTGATTTGCAACATCAATCTAACTTGTCGGTTTTCAGCCAATGCATGTAGGATTCACAAGTGCTGAAGGCGGGAATACTATACAGTTACACTGGTTTAGGCATAAATCTAATCTGCATCATGTAAGTTACCTAGAACCATGTTCCTTTATTTGCTTGGTAATTAAGGATAATGTATGACCTCTTGATTCCTCTTGTGCTTTGTAACTTCGCATTTTAAAATTTAAATATGCACACAATCGATCATGGGCAAGCGCTACAAGCAGAAATTAATTCACTTCTTAATCAATTCACAATTCAAAGTAGGTATTCCAAACCTCAAAACCATGCTCTGAAGCGAAATTCTAAAATTGGGGAATTTTAGCCATTAAAATTCTTGTAATTTCAGTATTTTCTACAAATTTTGATTGTTGTATTAGTAGTTTCAGTATTTTTATAATATTTTTAATTTTAATTTAAATAATATTTTCAAATTTTGACTAAACTAAATCCATCCAATATATTTTTTTCATATATAATGTCAATTTCCCGTATGGGAACCCAAATTTTGAGAAATTTCACTGTCGTTTAGAAGTATTATTCATTCATATGCCTCCAGATTGTAACTAATATGATCTTCCTGTGTGCAGGTCTGGAACAGGGAATAATTCTGACTGCTCTCAAGGACTTCTATGACAAGGACATGGACATCTTCTTGAAGACATACAGAAGAACTTCACTAATGTAAGAGAAACTCAAAGTCTTCCTTAAAACTTGAAATGCTTGTTTCTTCGTTTCTGCCTTTCTATTTTGTTTCAGTTATCACAAGATAAAAAGCAAGTGATGTTTATGGTGTTTCTGTTGATACTACAAAGGGAATCTGGTCAGATGATATTACGTCTTGGGAAGACTGTGATGACCTCTTCTCCTGTACAAAGAAGTGAGTGTAGTCATTCAAATAACCATTAGATCCTATGTTAAGATCTCTCTGTTCTGAAAATTAAGACACCAAGTAATTGAGGTTCTCATTATCAGTATTCTTCATATACACATGCAGATATGCTACAGAAAGCATAAACTTGGCTTGCAAATGGGGCTATGAGGAGGGCATCACGCCGGGTGAAACTCTAGCAGGTATGTCCATCATCCTAACCATAAAATCCTCTAAGATGTATGGTTTCTGGAACCTGGATTGCTTTTGGGTAAATAAAAGCGTTCCCTGTGTGTATTTTGCAGATGATTATTTTAATTCAAGGCTGCCAATTGTCACCAAAAGGATTGCACAGGGTGGAGTGAGATTAGCCATGATTCTGAACCAAGTCTTTGGTCACCATGATCACAATATCCCAGCTCCAACTTGAACAGCATTGTTGTCTGCATGTCATAAACTTACCTGGTTTTTTTTAGACTCAATGAACTCAGTAATCGCTAATTGTTTGAATCCTGTCTAAACATCTATTACTGATTGACAACCTGATCTACATCTGTACCATAGAACATATGTATTAACAAGAAATGGAATGAAGTCATTGAAGTGTGCCTAAATCGGTGTAACATGACAACATTGAAGTAATAGATTGAAGAAATTAAACTGTGTGATGGAAAGACCATTATAAGCATTGCTTCATGGCACAAACTTGGAACCAAATTAGCAATATCTAATTACAAGCAGCCAAAGTTGAAAAGAAAAGGCAATCATAAAGTTGTTGCTAAGCTCTTCTATACCATAATTTATATTCCATAAAGTGTAATTACAATGGATTCGTTGTATACAACAGCTTTCTCTTGCAATAAACGATGCACAACCTAGTCAAAGAGGCTGCACCAAGGGAGCATAAATTTTACCATGTAATATGCTCTTGGTGTCCAAGACAATTGCTGAAATGGAACAATTCCAATTATTACATATAGGTTGTGGATAAATATGAAAATCATTACAACACCATTGAAGAAAAATAGTAACTGCTATAGATAACACAGGAGAAAAGACAGATCTCTTGTTTGGGGGAAACACTAAGAGGGGGGGGGAGGTAAGTATTTTACAGTTTGAAAATGCACGGAAGCATAAAGCATAAAAATAAGTCAGTCCTCACCCAGATTGTCTCCGACCCCTCCCACCTTCAAAACAATCTCCGCCGCACGGTATGATTTTCTCCTACAATTGGAAGTTGATATGTGATTAAATTGCACTGGAGCTGTAAAGTTGCCCTGAATAACAGCAGGTCCATAACCTCGTCCAGTACATGAGTTATTGGACAAGCCTCCTTGTTCGCTCATATTTATATATGGTTGTAAATGCTGGTTCTGTAATACTATTCCAAATGGTGCCTGGCTAAATCCATTCTGGCATATGACCCCTGGCCAAGGTGCTGATGTGGGACCTGCAAAGGAATTTGAAGGACCAGAGGGCATGGATACATTAGGCAATAGCATCTGATTAAGATCAAACTGCCGCTGAACTGGTATTCCATTTGGGAAACTCGTAAGCATCTGTTGTTGATGATGGCATGGCATCCCATTAATTGGAAATCCATTAAGATGCTACTGACATGGCATCCCATTTGGCCAAAGCCCATTGGAAGGTTCCAACAACTGCTGAGGTGTACAATCTGCCTGCAACAACTGTGGCACAGGATGAACAATAACAGGCAAACTAGCATTGTCTTGTGCTGTACCAGGCAAGCAAGCACAACTATCACAACCAAATGGTGCTGCAAGAGGTGGTGTACGGAACTGATTTGGAATTTGTGATGGCTGACCTACAGATAGTGCTGGAGAAACTGGAAGCTTGTTGCTCTTCCAGGCCCTGTCCTTGTGTTGAGATTTCTTCTTATCAGCAAAATCAAAGTTTCTGCATTTCTGATCATCTGCACTCCACTTTGCCATCCTTTGCATTCTCTTGCACTCAGCCTCCTTTGATCATCAGAGAACTCGGCTTCATCAAAGACTTCATTATTCTCACCAGATGTATCATAACCTTTCTTGTACAGATTTTTTTCATTGAGAACATGGTTGGCAAACTCCTCAACAAATGATACAGGGGTGCCTTGACTAATTCCATCTGGGACCTCCTTGTCTAAATTGTATCGTACAACATAGTAAGGGTTCTTGACAGGTCCAAATATTTCATCTGCCAGTCCTAATGGCAATCGAGTTTCAGTAATCCAGAGAATGGAGCCTTCATTAAGAGGGTTGTTCTTTTCAGTTCCTTCAACGACTTTGGCACCAATAATCTGAAAAGGTGTAAAACCATCAATGAATTGGGAGAAGTGAACTGGTATGGAACAATAGAAAGATGATTTTGGTCAAACCTAAAAAATAATCATTACTTTGAACTGATTATTATAAATCCATTGTTTAGATATGAAGGACCATCAGACTGATGACTGGAAAAAAAAATCATCTGACTGATGATTTTCATTTCCCTTTCCCCCTTCAAGGGGGGCAAATATATTGTAAGTTGAATGAACTACCTGCTGGATTTCATTACCACACAGGTCAATAAGCATGAAGACTTCTTGTATGGCCCATACAACATTATAAGCGTGTGAAGCCATGACTATAACATTTTTCTCAATCAAGAAAGTGTTCCTAGGTTATATGAATTTACTGATAAAATAACTCCAACAGGCAGGATCTGATTATGTGGTTCCAAGGCAACATCCACTGGAGGAACTTCAGGGAGTTTCTGCAAAATAATTTGTTAAGAATCCCGTAAGTATTGATTGACTAGCAATATGCCAAAGAAAATAAATCAATATTAATAATTCACTTTTGTTTCCAAGGTCCTAACACATTCTTCATTTGTATATAGCTATGCATCTGAAGCATCAACTAGCATCGCAGTTACCAAATGGCTAATCTTAATACAGAAATGAAATATGCTATATATTTTTATATTGATCAGCAACACAGAAAAAATTTGTGTTCTTTGTACCCCTTGCTTGGCTAAGCTATCTGCCAAGCTATTAGCAGTCCTCACCCATTTTACTTGGATTAACATGTCCTATGACAGCCATTTGAACTTTCTGAATTCATTCAGCCTACTAATACCCAGTTATTTTGCCTTCTCAACCCCAAAAACTGCAGCCAAAAACTCTAATCTTGCCACATCACCTGGCTCCACAGGGCCAGAGTATAAAGCAATTATGTTCCCCTCTTCATCCCTAATGACTCCCACAATACCTGAGGGGCCTGGGTTACCCAAACAGCTCCCATCAAAATTCAGTTTCTCCCAACCATTTATTGGAGGACCCTAAACCTCAACAGATCTTTGTTTTGTAGTTGAGGATGCAGCGATGGTACCCCAAGCTCTGAAGAAATCTTCAATCTTGAATTCCAAAAACAGCCTATATAAAGACACGAAATTAAGGAAATGCATGTTGAAAATGATCAGAAAGAGACATGCATCATCCATAAAGGTTTAAGTAATAGAAATTGTGCTGTTTCTTCTCTATTTTTGGTACATATAGATCATTCTTTATGATGTAATTGTATTATATATATACAGCTCTTTGGTTTTTAAGTGTTAAGCTGTTACCTCCATAACCATAATCTAAGAGTCATCCAGTAAGAAAATTCAAGATATACATTCTTTTTTGATCAATGATGTATATCATGATCTCTAAAGAATTATTTTCTTTTTCATCTTAAGAATAACTTCTCTCTCAAAATTATCATACTTTGAGCTTTCAGGTTCCAAAGATTTTTAGTATCCAAGTCAAGCAAGATATTAATAGCACCAGTCTATATGAGCAACTCAGAAAAGCCATTATACCTTGGTACATATTGAGTACACCAAGACTCTGAAGAGTCGAACAGTCCAATCCAATAGGAGAGCAACATGTTACAGTCCTCATAAGAATGATGTATAAAATATTCTTCTTATGCTTAACACACAATAGAGAATAGACGTCATATTCTCAGTTAATTAATTATTCAATTGGAATAACGAGAATCAATAATCCAGTTCCCCAACTACGACTCAGTGGAATTTGGTAACTGCCAGCTCCAATTCAAAAACTCCAGAAGTGGACTTGAATTCAGTAGCACTAAAGAATATAAATCGAAACAAAATATAAAACACATACATGACTATTTTCTGTTTGATATAAAAATAAAGACCATAAAAGCCGCCATGTCTTACCTCAACCTCGTTCTTAGACTTTATAGGTGGAGTTATAACACCCTCACCATCATCATCGCTCCAACCAACCATCTCTTCTCCATCTGCATCCTTTATCTCAACTTCTTCATCGTCAACAGTTTGTCTCTTCCTCCTCACTTCTCGAAGAACTAGAGGAAAGTGATGATGAAGAAGTGTCGCCAACAGACTCGGAACAATCATCGTCTTCCTCATCACTGATTTTCTCAGAACACTCCTTGTCGCTCTTACTAGTAACATGTTCTGTATTTGCCAAATCAGCCATCAAAGTACCTACGCAGGCCTCGACTCCTTTGAGATTTGACATCTCCTCCTCTTTAACACTCTTCAGAACTTTCGCTGGGTCACTTAATTTCTTCTCATTCAAAGCATCCAACGCTTCCGATGCCTCACGTATTTACTGAAATTTGATCAAGATCACCAAGAACGGCACCGTCCAGAGCTCCAACCAAACTAACCATCTCCATTCCCTCCTCAATTAAACAACCCAAATTTCCTACCTCCTCGGAAAGAACTCTTTCAGGCATTCCCGTCCCATCTCTGTCCACCACTTGATTCCCTAGGCCAGTTTCTTCGTGGCTTTCTTCGATTTTCACTTTAATATGCACCGCAGAAAGCCCAATATCAAACAGCAAAAAATCAACCCTAAAGTGGATTAAAGGGTCGAGATATTCCACTGGTTGTGCGAGCTTGGGTGCTTCACTGTGTCTTTGATGGCGGGATTAAACCGAACGATCGTGGAACAAAGAAAGGCTGGTTTGGAAAACAAGAATTGGATTTTGGGTGCGCGAAACTGGAAAGTGAGAAGTGCAAAATCATAGTTGAAATTTGAAAACACCATATACATAGGCAAAATGAGGAGGGAGTTCCTGGCTGCTGCTTAAACCCCAGGCTAGGGTTTCTCTACTTTTGCTGTTGGGAAATGGTAAAATACATGTAGCAATGCTTTATTTGTCCAGAGTGAATTGATTAGGCTTAGTTTGGAAAGAGTACAAATGCATATATATGTAAATTGCAAAACCTTATATTTTATATTATTTTTTACATATTTGCAACATATATATTTATATTTGTATTCTTTACAAACTAAGCGTTTAGTGTGACTCTCTTTGACTTGTGAATTGTATTACACCCTATTTTGATTTATTTGTTTTGAGGAAAATAGGGGGATGGGATAGAGAAAATGTGGGATGTGGGATTCCAAAATCAAGTAGGTGGAGTCACACTAAAACATTGTGACTTTAGTGAGAACTCTGCTAAGAAAATATTTCAGGTCTTGTCAGAGTAGAGAGCCTTGAGAGACTCTTCTTCTCCAACCTCTACCCATCCCAATGGTAGGATCTCCGGCGATTTCTCTGGCCATTTCATTTAAAGGTAAGAGTAGATTAGATCCATCCCCTACTTCATTTTGTTTTTTGGTTCGTTCTTCTTTCTTTCTCATCCCTTTAATGTCTTTGGTGAAGGTTTGGTCGAAGTGAAACTCCATTCTAGCAACCTCCATTTCTTTCATTTTCATTTTTTCCCATGTCTACCAACCGGCGAAACTAATAGAGTAACAGCTTCCATGGATCCATAAATGTCATTGATGTGATGGGACCTCTATCTATAAACTAAGAATGACATGATTATTAATTAAGTTTCTAGATCTAACATTTTCATCAATAAAACTAACATTTTTACAAATATGCAAAACTAATAGCTAACATTTTTACAACTATAAGACTAACATTTAGTCAAAGCATTCTTTGTCGTTAAACTAAATTGTAAAACTAAGTGGGATTTCCATATGTAAAACTAACATTTTTGTCAATCGGATCTAACATTTAGTCATTGGGTTCCTAGATCTAACCTTTTTATCCAATTTTTGCAGATTGAAACCATTGACTTTGGGGATGATACGAAGATTTGGGAGAGGGGTTCAAATCTATCTTCCTCAATCATACTTGTTTTTTTCCTCCTATCTATCTTCCTCGATGAGATTTGTTTTTTCCCACAAAACAAACATGGAAAGAGGAATTTTCCCATTATTTTCTTTTGTACAACCAAACAATGTAAAGTGAAAAATTCAAACTTTTTCATCCTATCCCACCCAAATCTTCCCACAAACCAAACAGAACATACAAGGCTAAAATCCCTATGAGCAAGATAACGAGTAACAGAATTCAAGTTCCTTTTTTAACCAAAAAAAGAAAGGGGAAATTTCTTAAACTACTAAGTTTAAAGAAATGTACTAACTATATCCCTAATGTTTGCAAAATCCCTTAAAATATTCCGAAGTTTTCTAACAATTGACATCACCATTAAAATTTCACAAAAACAACAAAATGTTGAATTTATCCTCTATTCTTTAAATTTTCAAAATAAAACCCAACATATCAAAAGTTTCAATAATGTCTCTACTTGTACATTGAGTGTCTCTGATAACCGATATCTAACATGCTCCCACCATCACCATTCACCACCACTCGATTTCTATGCTGGTTCTTGTAGAGATAGTTGTCAGTGTATGGTCCCACTTTATTTTTTGTGTTCATATCTTTATGTTATTTCATGTTATTTTAATGGTAGTTATGGTAGTTAGGCCAAATTTATATGTTTTTGTTTCTTACGTAGGTAGCAGAGATATTAGTGGAATTCCACTAATGTTTTAAAATACAAATATATAAATAGATTGGTGGGGTGGCCAGACATAACAAAAAGTTTTTAGTTTCCTTTAATCAAATTGGTATCTAAGCCAACCTACGGAAAATTTGGGTTCTCATGTGAGCTTGATCTAGTAGGCTGCATAAGAACTTCCTAGGACTGGAAGTTCTGCATCATCGCCTGATTCTTGGAGGTTGTTGGAGTCTTTAGTTGCTACCAAAGGGATTGCAAGACCTTTAGAGATTGCCCGATCACTAGGAAGGATTATATAAAACAGGTAAGTTCAAGATTAGGGTTTAAACTAAAGATTCAAGGTGGCGATTAGTTTTCTTCTGAGATAGCTTCCTTTTTTACTGAGACCAACTTGATTAGAAGCAGTTTAAATCATTCTGGAAGCAGCAATTGACAGATTTGTCTTCCCTATTATTTTCTCTAGGGTTTTTTCAAACCCTACGATCAGTTTTCAGCTCCCAAGCTTGTTATTCTGATTGTGAATAATTTTTGGGTGGTGTCTTTGATTGTGGATGATTTTTGGAAGATTATTGTTGATTGTGAATGATTTATGGATGACTGTTATTGATTATGAATGATTTCTAGGTGATTAATTTCAATTGATTAGGGTTTTTTGTATAAAAAGAAGGCAATTCTAGGTTTCCTTCTTGAAGTTTTGACTTGTTAGTATTTTATATAAAATGGAGAAGGTTGGAAATGAGTTAAAGACTCAAGGGAAAAGTTTTATGGGGGTTGGAAACACGACTGAAAGCTCTTTTTCAGATTATTACTGTTAGGTTTGATGGAACCAATTACTTGGAATGGGCCCAATTAGTTATGATGGCCATTGGAGGTAGAGGTAAATTAGGCTATGTGTCTGGGGATACAAAGAGGCTAGCCAAGTAAGAGACATCACATGCTAAATGGGTTCAAGAAAACTATTTGTTGGTGACTTGGCTGTGCAGTTCTATGCAGTCTCACATTAGTCAAAACTACTTATAGGTAAAAATAGTTAAGGAGATTTGAAACAATATGAAAGAGACATACTCTCAACCCCTAATGTTGCTAAAGCTTATGAGCTGAAGTGTGAAGTAAATAATCTCAAGTAAGGGAAGAAGCCAATCTCATTTTACTTTGCTACTTTAAAATCTCTGTGCCATGAAATTAACCATTTTGAAACAATTGAGTAGGAAAGTTAGAAAAATGCAACAACATATAGCAAGTTCATTGAAACAAATAGAGTGTTTGAGTTCCTAGCCAATCCGAATTCAAATTTTAACATTGTAAGACAACAACTAATTACCAGGGTGAGTGTGGCATTGTCTCAAGCCTATTCATTAATGCACAATGAAGAGAGTAGGAGAAAAGTTATGTTACAGTTTCAACTTATGGAGTCAACCTTAGCATTAACAAAACCAAAAATTGGGGGAGACAAGAAAGGGAAATGAAAGAAGATGAAAGGGATATATTTTGTGATCATTGTAAGAAGCTAAAATATATTAGGGACACTTGTTGGAAGTTGTACCCTCATTATATTCTAGTAAGTCTCAAAAATAAGAAGGGAAATGCCAATGTGGATTTTACTATTGATAGTGCATCATCTTCTAGCACAAGGAGCACATCCCTAGATGCCTTAACTGTTGTCTGAGCTTCCTTGACACAATTGGAGAGTGAAGTTGGTACTTTTGGATCCCCATCTCAGCCACCAGCTATTGCATTTGTTACTCCCACTTCAGCCTTTGCTCACTCAGGTACAAGAGTTACAATATATCATGCATCAGCCCCAGGTAACACTAGACCTTTTTGATTAATAGATTCAAGTACATCTAATCATATGACTAGTTTGTCAACCTTATTTACCAAAAATGTCTATCTTATGGTAGAGAGAAAGTATCTATTATTTATGGCTCTCTTGTTCCTATTTCTGGCAAGGGAGACATTAGATCGTCTTATGTCATCTCCCTATCCTCAGTTCTACATGTTCCTAAACTTAGTGCTAACCTGCTTTTAGTTAGTAGTATTAATAAGAATCATAATTGTTCAGTGACCTTTTTCCCTAATTGTTGTGTTTTTCAAGATCTTGAGACAAGAAAAGTGATTGAGATTGGCCATGAGACGAATAGAGTCTATCTGCTTAAACATCCACAAGGGGAAGGACAATGAAGTTGGGAGGTTATTTGTTTCTTAGTCCGTAAGTCAAATTATACTTTGGCATAATCAATTAGGTCATTTATCTTTTGGGTCTTTGAAGAGTCAACTTCCTAATTCTTTTTTTTAAATTAGACCAAGTGTCTAGTTTGAGGTGTGAGAGCTATGAACTTGCAAAGCATTGTAGATCAATTTATTCTTTGAGCAATAAAAAAAGCAATGTTCCTTTCAAAATTGTGCATGCAGATGTTCGGAAACCATATCATATTGCTGCTAAGGGAGGTACAGATACTTCTTGTTGTTTGTTGATGAACTCGTTTCTCATGGGTTTACCTTATGCACTCTCAAGATGAGGTCCCTACTCTGAGTTAGGCTTTCCATCATATGGTACCGACCCAATTTGGAATTAGGATCAAAATTCTCATATACGATAATGCCAAGGAGTATTTTTCAAAACCCATGGCCTCATTTTTCCTTAATCATGCTGTTATCCATTAGAGTATTTATCCTCGTACACCCTAGAAAAATGGGGTTATTGAAAGAAAGAACAGATATATCTTTGAGGTAGCCAGAAGCATCATGTTAAAGTCTAATTTCCCCATACGTTTTTGGGAGGATGCTATCCGCACAATTGTATACCTTATTAACTGAATCCCTTCATGGGTTTTAGACATAAAAACACCATTTAACCTCTTGTATCCAAACAATGACTATTCATTATTCCCCTTAAAACCTTTGGGTGTACTTGCTTTGTTCAAATCCTTAAAACTCAACGCTCCAAATTTGATCGCAAAGCTTCCAAATGTATCTTCCTTGGGTATGCACAAAATCAAAAGGGGTATTGTTGTTATGAGCCTGTTTCTGGAAAACGATTTATGTTTATAGATATTACATTCTTTGAGGATGTGCCCTACTATCATAGGGTTTCTTCTCATGGGGAGAATAATGAGGTAGGTATTTCATGAGGGTAGATTTTGCCCTCCAGTGAAATTGTGACACGTGGCACCTCGTGACAACTAGGCAAACACCCAGGCAACAACTTACCAAGTTGGTATCCCACCCGGGCACCAGTCTGGCCGGCCTGGCGTGACCTGCACGCGGGCTACGGGCGGCCT